CAATCCCTATAGCCTGATGCCCGGGACATGCAGTTCCGGGCACCGGGCAAGAGGTTTTTCTTTACATTTATCCCTGCTGCGGGCAAGCAGCAGGAATTAGAGCCAACGGTCGGCTCTCTTTTAACAGAAATCTGAGCAGCAAACTAGCCACTGGATCGCTTTTACAAATGGCAGAGGGGACATCCCCCTTCCACGGGCTGTCCCGTCACACCAGGACACCCAATCGACCATATGGTGCTTCTACCAACTGATCATAAAAGCATACTTCCAGGTTCCCTGGACATAAACAGCACCATTTTTAATAATGGAAAGAATTTAATTACACCGATCTTGTGTGATCAAATGCTTTTAAAGGCAGAGGAGGGATCTGGGGTCTTATTTATCCCAGATCGCTCAATAAAAAGCACTTGTCACTGCCTATTGCTGTCACAAGGGATGTTTTTTCATTCCTGGTGAAAGCAATAAAAGTGAAAAAAAAAAAAAAATTAAAACAACAGTGTTAAAATAAACAATTTAATTATTTTTTTAAAAGCATCCCTGTCCATGTATGCAAAGTCGAATGCATGCGTCGGTCCTGCACACAAGCAAACAGCATTCGGCCCACACATGATACATCACTGAGAATGTTAGATCAAGGACAGCAATTCTAGCACCAGACCTCCTCTGTAAATCTAAGGTGGTAACCTGTAAAGGCTTTTAAAGTATGGCTTTTGGACAGTAAAATTTATGTTGTTTGTTGCCGCTGCACGGGCATGCGCAATTTTAAAGTGTGGTATCTATTTACTCAGCGTTACATCATCGTTTATATTTTACTAAAAATTGGGTTTAGTAATGTGTTTTTTTGCATTAAAATGAAAAAAAAGTGTTTTTTTTCCAAAAAAACAATTGCGTTTGAAAAACTGCTGCGCAATTACAGTGTTACATAAAAAAATGCAAAACTCACCAATTTATTCTCTAGGGCCTCTGCTTTGAAAAAAAAATGTTTGGGCGTTTTAAGAAATTTTCTATCAGTTTAAGTCGCCATAAAGCTCCTTTTGTTTTTAAAAGCCCCAGACTTTCCTAAAAGCACCTCTGCCTAATAAAAAAAAAAAAAAAATCAACTTTTCATATTTTCCAAACTGGCAAAACATTTTTATCATCAGAACAAATAGATTGTTATGAGGGACAATTAGATTGGAACCCTGATTTAGTCCTTGGACAAGTAGTTTTTTAAAAAATGTCCACACCCCTGCACACTATTTTGGGGATGGTGATTCCCTACGCCTTTTGGACATTAGTAAAATATTAACAAAACACATTTGGATTTTCCAGCTCTTTATATGATATATAAAGTCTTGAATACGACCACCAAACAATTCTTGGAAATTACTGGCTATACCATTTGTACCTCACTTTGCTTGAATTATAATCTTTCTGTGGTATTTAAGCTCCCTGTATTTCTACAGTAGAACTAAGTGGGTGTCAGTCAGCATGGCATCTTCCCTATACTCAGAGTTAACAGCTAAAGACCTCCAAACTTCATGTGGCCTTCAGATTAGCACAATAGCAGTGTGTAGATGTAGAGAGCTTCATGGAATGGGTTTCCATGGCCAAGCAGCTACATCCAAGCCTTACATTACCAACTGCAATGCAAAGTGTTGGATGCAGTGGTGTAAAGCACACTGCCACTGGACTCTAGAGCAGTGGAGACGTGTTCTCTGAAGCGACCAATCACGCTTCTCAGTCTGGCAATCCAATGGATGTGTCTGGGTTTGGTGGTTTCCCGCAGAACGGTACTTAGCTGACTGCATTGTGCCAAGTGTAAAGTTTGGTGGAGGGGGGGGGGTTATGATGTAGGGTTGTTTTCCAGGGGTTGGGCTTGGCCCTTAGTTCCAGTAAAGGGAATTCTTAAGGCGTCAGCATACCAAGATATTTTGGACAATTTCATGCTCCTAACTTTGTGGGAACAGTTTGGGGATGGCCCCTTCCTGTTCCAACATTACTGAGCACCAGTGCAAAATACAAGGTCCATAAAGGCATGGATGAGCGAATTTGGGGTGGAGGAACTTGTCTGGCCTGCACAGAGTCCTGGACTCAACCCTATAGAACACCTTTGGGATCAATTAGAGTGCAGACTGCGAGCCAGGCCTACTCGTCCAACGTCAGTGCCAAACCTCACAAATGCGCTTATGGAAGAATGGTCAAACATTCCTAAAGACACACTCCTAAACCTTGTGGACAGCCTTCCCCGAAGAGTTGAAGTTGTTATAGCTGCAAAGAGTGGGCCAACTCAATATTGAACCCTACGGACTAAGACTGGGATGCCATTAAAGTTCATGTGCGTGTAAAGGCAGGCGTCCCAATACTTTTGGCACTATAGTGTATACCAATCAGAGAATGGCTTAAATAATTTAAATGGCTGTGCACAGAGCAGCCCTGATTCTCTTCTTTTCAGGTCAGCGCTCCTGGCTACCTTACCTTAATACCCCCATATCAACCTGCTTTACACGCACTTACGCACACTCACTTCCAAGCCTCACTCTGTGTGTCCATAAATACATAGAATGTGGCTCAGCCTGCCCCTCGCTCCCTCCTTACTGAATGTGATTGACAGCAGCGGAAACTAATGGTTCCCACTGCTGTCTCTGAGCCAATGAGGAGGGAAATCTTTGGGAAAGCCTCTGCTCTGGGGCACATCACTGGATTGAGATCAGGCTCAGGTAAGTATTTAGGGGGGCTGGGAGGGGGGAGCTGCACATAGAAGGTTTTTTTACCTTCATGCATAGAATGCATGAAGATAAAAAACCTTCAGCCTTTAGAACCACTTTAAACTATCTGGTGTAGGTAGACAGAAAATCCAAGAAATATTATACATGATCTATCTTTATAATAGTCAAGTTGCTAGCTTTGTTCTCAAACTGTTACCAAAGTAAAAAAAAAAAGAATAATTAAAATAACAAACATGTTATACTACAGTGGTATTGCACAGAGCAGCCCTGATCCTCCTCTTCTCGGGTCCCCATGCGGTGATCTTGGCTCCTCTTTTTCATGTGTCCCCATAGCAAGCTACTATGGAGGCACACCGTGGCTGCACACTCCCGAGCTGTGTTTCTATGGAGCTACCTACCCCCACTTCCTCCTCACTGCAATTGATTGACATTGGTTCCTGCTGCTGCTCGAGTGCTGTGTGAAGAGGAAGAGAGGGGAGAAGAGATGCAGCCGTGCACAGCACTAAATCTATTCCCCCCCCCTCTTCCCTTTAACACGGGGGGGGGGGGGCAGAGAAAAAGAAAACGTTTTTTGCCTTAATGCAATATGGTAAAAAAAAACATTTTTAGCTTTAGTGTCACTTTAATTACACTGATATTACAGCTGATATAAAGGCTTGGTGGCTGTGCTCCCTGGTCATCTGTTTAATTCAAAATATGGCCTCCTATTAAGCTGGGGGTCTTAAGCTTGACATTTCTATAGTATTGCCTCCTAATAACAGGTAATGCCACAGATCAGATATTATTAGGGTTGTTGTCACACACATTTTAAATGTGCTATGCAGTTCTGTGTTCTTTATTGGATTTGTGAATGCAAATAAAGTAGTGGGTTTTTTGTTTTTGTTTTTTTGCTTGTTTGTAACTGTCAGGGATCCCAGGTGTGACCAGAGATGTGTGACTGACGCAGGGAAACGCAGACTTCAGATATGTGATAAACAATGTAATTTATTAACACTAACAATACAACCATAAACGCAGTGCAATACTAAAACATAACACAGTGCAAACAAACCAAACCAACCACCCACAGATAACAGTACAAACAAGCAAGCGTCGTCAGGCAGGCCGGGTCAATATCAATAGGGCAGGTAGGTACAGGGGGAGCAAGCGGAGATGGTCGGGGTCACAGGCCAGGTTCAGCAGGTAGCAAGCAGCGTAGTACAGAGGGTCAGGCAGAGGGATGGTCAGGGTCACAAGCCAGGGATCAGAACAGGGTAGCAAGCAGCGTGGTACAGAGGGTCAGGCAGAGGGATGGTCAGGGTCACAAGCCAGGGATCAGAACAGGGTCAGCAGAGAATCAGACAGGAACAGAGAGCAGGAACAGGATACAGGATGCAGGACAGATACAGGGCCCAGGACAAACACAACACCAAGGCAGAGTCTGCAAGTCTGGCCATCCCTTAAATACACCAGTATCATCAGTTCCAGGTGTTAGCTGGCTGAAAGGTTGAGTCTCTGATTGCTGGGAGCACCCGCTGGCCAGCCCTGGTACTGCAGATCAAAAGGCAGGTGAGTCCCACCATTGCTGGCCAGTCCATTCCTGACAGTACCCCCCCCTCAAGGAGCGGCCTCAGGACGCTCCAAACAGTCCTAGCTGGGCAAAATGTTCCACCGCCCGGGTCTGGTAACTGGCGGGATATCAAAGACTGGCACACCGGGCAGGACTCCGGGCAGCGGCACACCGGGCTGGACTCCGGGCAGAGGCACACCGGGGCAGAGGCACACCGGGCAGAGGCACATCGGGCAGGACTCCGGGCAGAGGCACATCGGGCAGGACTCCGGGCAGAGGCACATCGGGCAGGACTCCGGGCAGAGGCACATCGGGCAGGACTCCGGGCAGAGGCACATCGGGCAGAGGCACATCGGGCAGAGGCACATCGGGCAGGACTCCGGGCAGAGGCACATCGGGCAGGACTCCGGGCAGAGGCACATCGGACAGGACTCCGGGCAGAGGCACATCGGACAGGACTCCGGGCAGAGGCACATCGGATTACCAGGCGAAGCAGCAGGCAGAGGGCCACCAGGCAGGCGGGGGGCGGCGGGGCGACAGGCAGGGCCCCCGGGCGGGGCCCAGGCACCGGGCCCCGGGCGGGGCGACAGGCACCGGGCCCCCGGGCGGGGCGACAGGGGGCCCCCGGGCGGGGCGACAGGCACCGGCCCCCGGGCGGGGCGACAGGCACCGAGCCCCCGGGCGGGGCGACAGGCATCGGGCCCCCAGGCGGGGCGACAGGCATTGGGCCCCCAGGCGGGGCGGCGGGCGCCGGACCCCCAGGCGGAGCGACAGGTCTCGGGCCCTCAGGCGGAGCGGCGGGCGCTGGACCCCCAGGCGGAGCGACAGGTCTCGGGCCCTCAGGCGGAGCGGCGGGCGCCGGACCCCCAGGCGGAGCGACAGGTCTCGGGCCTTCAGTCGGAGCGGCGGGCGCCGGACCCCCAGGTGGAGCGACAGGTCTCGGCCCTCAGGCGGAGTGCCGGGCGCAGGACCCCCAGGCGGAGCGACAGGTCTCGGGCCCTCAGGCGGAGCGACAGGTCTCGGGCCCCCAGGCGGAGCGGCGGGCGCCGGACCCCCAGATGGAGCGACAGGTCTCGGGCCCTCAGGCGGAGCGGCGGGCGCCGGACCCCCAGGTGGAGCGACAGGTCTCGGGCCCTCAGGCGGAGCGGCGGGGGCCGAGTCACCAGGCACGACAGTGGGCTCCGAGTCAACTGGCATGACCGCTGGCACTGGGTCAGACATTGGATCGTCTGGCTGGACAGCGGGCATCGGGTCACCAGGCATCAGGTCATTTGGCTCGACCGCGGGCACCGCGTCATCTGGCAAGACAGTGGGCTCCGAGTCAACTGGTATGACCGCGGGCACTGGGTCAGACATTGGATCGTCTGACTGGACAGCGGGCATCGGGTCACCAGGCATCAAGTCATTTGGCTCGACAGCGAGCACCGCATCATCTGGCAAGGCAGTGGGCTCTGAGTCAACTGGCATGACCGCGGGCACTGGGGCAGACATTGAATCGTCTGGCCGGACAGCGGGCATCGGGTCACCAGGCATCAGGTCATTTGGCTCGACAGCGGGCACCGCGTCATCTGGCAAGGTAGTGGGCTCCGAGTCAACAGGCACGACAGTGGGCACCGGGTCATCAGGTACCGGATTGTCTGGCTCGACAGCGGGCATCGGGTCACCAGTTATGACAGCGGGCACTGGGTCACCAGGCATTAGGTCATTTGGCTCGACAGCGGGCACCGCGTCATCTGGCAAGGCAGTGGGCTCCGAGTCAACTGGTATGACCGCGGGCACTGGGTCAGACATTGGATCGTCTGACTGGACAGCGGGCATCGGGTCACCAGGCATCAGGTCATTTGGCTCGACAGCGGGCACCGCGTCATCTGGCAAGGCAGTGGGCTCCGAGTCAACAGGCACGACAGTGGGCACCGGGTCATCAGGTACCGGATTGTCTGGCTTGACAGCGGGCACCGGGTCACCAGGCATTGGATCGTCTGGCTCGACTGCGGGCATCGGGTCACCAGGTATGACAGTGGGCACTGGGTCACCAGGCATCAGGTCATTTGGCTCGCCAGCGGGCACCGCGTCATCTGGCAAGGCAGTGGGCACCGAGTCACCAGGTACGACAGCGGGCTCTGAGTCAATTGGCACGACAGCGGGCACCGGATCATCTGGATCAACAGCGGGCATCGAGTCAAACTGGCCTAATAGGATCGTCAGGCTGGATCAGTTCATTATGCTGGGTAGAGGCATCAGGCTGAATGCCGGCGTCCGGCCGAGTAGAGGCTTGGCCGAGTAGAGGCTTCAGGCCGAGTAGAGGCTTCAGGCCGAAGAGAGGCATCCGGCTGAGTAGAGGCTTCAGGCCGAGTAGAGGCTTCAGGCCGAGTAGAGGCTTTAGGCCGAGTAGAGGCTTTAGGCCGAGTAGAGGCTTCAGGCCGAGTAGAGGCTTCAGGCCGAGTAGAGGCATCAGGCCGAGTAGAGGCATCAGGCCGAGTAGAGGCTTCAGGCCGAGTAGAGGCTTCAGGCCGAGTCACGGAAGGCAGGTTCACCGGTTTGGATACTGGCAGGATGGTATTGGTTGGAAAGAATTTTCGTTTTTTTCTGTTTTAACTACTGGAGCACTGCAAGTAAACGCAGGTCTGCAAACGAATGGAGCAGCTGGAGACAGAGAAGAACTGGAGGATGGAACAGAAGAGGGAGCAGTTGCTACAGAGGGCTTTTTTACAAGGTTAAAGGCAGGATAGGTGGTTGCAGCGAGTGTGGGAACAGGGTACTGACATGCGGTAGATAGCCAAGTATACTGGGCTGTAACTGGAGGAGCTGTTGGGAATACAGGAGTAGAGTTAGAAGCAGGACTGGGTCTTTGTAAGCTGACTGAGGCTGGGTGCAACAAGTCTGTCCATGTCTGCAGTAGGGGTTGAACAAAGCTGAGCTTACACAAAGCCTGTCTGGTCAATGACTGCACTGCGTTTATACAATCTCTTAGTGTCTGTGGTGAACATGTGGAATAACGCTCCAGAAAGTAACCCACATCATCCTCTAATAACCACACCAGGGACTCTACCTGGTCTGCACTAAATGGTGGCAAAAATTCATCCCCCTGCATTTGGGGGAACCAGATGAAACCAACTCAACACAAAACCTGAATCAATGGCTGCACCATAGAGAAATCTGTGCCCTGATCTACTAGAACATGAGCGAGCCGTATACATTCTAGCAGTTCATCCCGGGGATACTCCTTCAGAGTCTGATAAGCATACTCTCTGTCATCAAGCACTAGCAGAGATAAATACTCAACCTCATCCAGATCCATCCTTCCCATCAACAAGCCAAGATGGCCTCCCTGTGCAGCCACTTCTGGTCAGGATTGTCCTTGGTGTAATGTCAGGGATCCCAGGTGTGACCAGAGATGTGTGACTGACGCAGGGAAACGCAGACTTCAGATATGTGATAAACAATGTAATTTATTAACACTAACAATACAACCATAAACGCAGTGCAATACTAAAACATAACACAGTGCAAACAAACCAAACCAACCACCCACAGATAACAGTACAAACAAGCAAGCGTCGTCAGGCAGGCCGGGTCAATATCAATAGGGCAGGTAGGTACAGGGGGAGCAAGCGGAGATGGTCGGGGTCACAGGCCAGTTTCAGCAGGTAGCAAGCAGCGTAGTACAGAGGGTCAGGCAGAGGGATGGTCAGGGTCACAAGCCAGGGATCAGAACAGGTAGCAAGCAGCGTGGTACAGAGGGTCAGGCAGAGGGATGGTCAGGGTCACAAGCCAGGGATCAGAACAGGGTCAGCAGAGAATCAGACAGGAACAGAGAGCAGGAACAGGATACAGGATGCAGGACAGATACAGGGCCCAGGACAAACACAACACCAAGGCAGAGTCTGCAAGTCTGGCCATCCCTTAAAAATACACCAGTATCATCAGTTCCAGGTGTTAGCTGGCTGAAAAGGTTGAGTCTCTGATTGCTGGGAGCACCCGCTGGCCAGCCCTGGTACTGCAGATCAAAAGGCAGGTGAGTCCCACCATTGCTGGCCAGTCCATTCCTGACAGTAACCTTTTTTGTATTTTTGTTTTTGTGTGTTTGTAAACAACTTTTTTGGTGTTCGGAAAAAAAAAAAAGTGAAATAAAATCTAATGGAAAAATATGAGAAATATAGTTAACCAAAAATCCAACTGGACAAACAGACTTCCTAAAAATGGCCAAAGCTTTTATACAGACACAGAAATAGCAGATATTTCACCAACAACAGTCCCAAAAATATAGAGGAAACAATTTATAGTGGCTTGACCCTTTATATGGACCAATAATAGGAGATTTTGTGCTTTAAAATGTTGACAGTGGAGCTACAGGGAGCTTAAAAGGTTTTCCATTAAAATTATATTAGTAAAGCTATGACAATCTTTATTTTCAGCATAAAAAAAAACAAAGACCTGCAACTGGATATTAGTAGTACTGCACCTTGGAGTTTGGCTGAGCAGTGCCATAAATGGCCATCTTGGGAACCCTTCTGAAGTTGGCTACATTCATTTCTTTCACAGTACTTAGCACATCTGGTGAGAACCGATCATCCAATACCTGAAACAATAATTAACTAATTAAACACACATTCTAGCAAAAAAAAGACTCAAATTGACAAAATTTTCATTTACAGCTTCTGCATTTCTATCCTGTAAATTACCTATATTTATTATACTGCACTATGTATAGAATAAGTAATTCTGTAATACTTTATTAAAATGGAGGGGCACTGACCAAATCCAAAGTGGTTATTTACTAAAGGCAAATAGGCTGTTCACTTTGCAGGGGAAATTATTCCTAAGCTTTGTGAATTTGGTAAAAATGCACTTTATACAAAATATCATATCATGTGCAAGGATAATAAAAACATTGTATTTTTGCTTGCACGTGATTGGATGATAGGAGTCAGCACAGCTTCCCACATTCACTAAGCTAAGTGAACAATTCATTTGCCTTTAGTAAATTAACCCCAAAATTTCAAATTTGGAAACAGAAACTGCAGATTTTGGGCTTAGGAGATAGACTCTATAAAAACTTCAATAAACTTCCTAGGGCATATCTCCTAGGCTTTGTTCTCCATGCCACTATTGCCAGCAAACTCCAGCTATCATTTTGAGCCATATAAGGCTAGGATCTCACTGTAGTGCATCTGGGAATGTGTGTAAATCAAACATGTTCCCTGACACACAGGCAAAACACGCTGTTCTTTACACCTCATGTCCTCTAACACCCAACGCATCGGAAACTACCGTGCATTTTCGGAGGCACAAAACTTCATGGTGCGACAGTACTATGTGGTTTCATGTGACTGCGTTTTTGAATTTTGGAAAAGGGTTGGGGACTTTCTTCCCCATGTTTGCCTAATGCATTAAGAGGGCTCAATCCTTTGGGCCCGATAACATGGGTAGGTGGTGGGAAAAACAAGTAGCACATGACCCAGGAGAAAATTCCAGAAGGTTGCATGACTAGTGGAAAGTTCTAGAACAACAGGGCTCATTATATAAAGGAGCTCCATCAGCGGGAGATTGCCAGCTGGTCAGTGTCAGTGCAATGAGCCCCCCCCCCCACCCCTTTTTTGTCGCAATGCATGTTATGTGGTATTGTCACCCTTTACATTTAAAGGGGAGAATGTTGTTATATTTATTCAGTTTGAGCTCGAGTCCTTAACGACTGAGCTATTTGATTGTTATTTGATAAGAGAAGGATAAACATTATTTATAGTATTTGTTATTTATTTATTAACCGCTTGCCTACTGGGTACTTTTACCCCCTTCCTGCCCAGACCAATTTCAGCTTTCTTTGCACTTTGAATGACAATTGCGCGGTCATGCAACACTGTACCCAAACAAAATTTTTATCATTTTATTTTAGACAGATAGAGATTTCTTTTGGTGGTATTTAATCATCTCTGGGATTTTTATTATTTGCTAAACAAACTAAAAAACACTGAAAATTTAAAAAAAAAGTTTTTTCTTAGTTTCTGTAATAAAATTTTGTAAATAAGTAATTTTTCTCCTTTACTGATGTGTACTAATGAGGCTGCAGTGATGGGCACTGATAGGCAGCGCTGATGAGGAGGCACTGATGGGTATGGACAGGCATCACTGACAGGCACTGAAAGGCAGCACTCATATATGGCACTGATAGGTGGCACTGAGTAGCACTAATAGGTGGCACTGATTGGAACTGTTAGATGGCACTGACAGGGGGCACTGATAGGCAGCACTGATTGGTGACTCTGATAGGTGACACTGACTGGCACTGATAGCACTGAAAGGCAGCTCTGATGGGCACTGGTATGTGGCATTGCCGGGCACTTACAGGTGGCATTGAAGGACACTGACAGGTGACACTGATGGGGCTACACTGATCATCAGGGGACTGATGATCAGTGTAGATGTCCGCTCTGAGTAATGCCGATTACCAGCTCTCCTCTCCTGATGAGCTGTCAGTAGGAGGAGAGGACTGCTGATAACCGGCATTTCCTATTTACATGTGATCAGTTGTGATTGGACACAGCTGATCACATGACAGAGCCAACATCATCGGCTCTTTACAGTGATCGGTAATCCGCTGTGTCCCAGGGACACAATGCACCACTGATCGTCGCGCACCCCCAAGAGCGCGCACGTGCATATAGAGTGGAAGGACGTCATATGACGTCCTCCCAGAATGAGACAACCGCCGCCCTCCCCGTCATTACCTTACATGGGGGGCGGGAGGTGGTTAAACCAATAAAGTGCCGCGGCCAAAATTTTGCCATTATAGATTGTGCGTGTGTTTGTATTTATTTAGATAGTTATATAATGGGTATTCAGGAGAGGAGAAAAGGTGCAGCCTGCATTCCCATGAATGGGCTGCTGTACCCGCAC